CTGAGGACGACAAGTCAAAAAAAGTTGTCAGTTGTTGTCATAAATTAAGCTGACAGTCGCTATATAAATTCAAGAACTAATTTTAAGCCTTTAACGAAGTACTTATGAAAGCAGAGCCCCTAAATTTCCTCTGGAGCTCTAGATCATTTACACACCACAAGTATCATATGCTTCTCAGTGTTCTATAGTTTCAAGTATCTGTGAGTGAAAGTCAGATTGAAATTTCAAGTGCGGAGATTACCGAATTACGGCTAATTATGGAGCTCTCTCACATGAGCAAAAAGTTATTTGAATTTTAGCGTAAGAGAGAAGAAAAAAGAGACACGGCTGTAGTTTCAAGATAGATACTAAAGGACGCAAAAGGACGCAACTAATGAGTCAACCGGAGAATTCAAACGATACCAGACTTAGGAATAATAGATCAGACGACGTTACAACTTGGACAGATACGCATGAGAATTTCTTGACTACAAAGGGCCGTCTGGTGGTAACTGGCTGATCACCATTAGTTGCTAGCTGTTGATGCAGCATTGATTGGTCGTACTTGTCAGTATTTGTTACGTTGTTGATGACATCGTTGCAGTATCTGTATGTTTCATAGTTTTAATGTTGTCCGTCGGCGACGTCCTCTTAATGCAAACACATTATAGATATGCAATAAGTAGATTAATTGGGCTCATATGTACCAGTTGCTTTTTATTGTTAATTTTTTTAACACCTCTGGGTATTAATTGTGCCTATCGATCTGCTACTAATAAAGCTAATATAGTTCATGAAAGGTTGTTTTCAGGGAAATTTGTGTATAAAAATTTAATTTGGTATTATCGTTTTTTTATGATTATTTTCCTCCTGATTCAGCGACAACTCATTGTAATATAAGTGATGTCTTGGTTCAAGAAACCCGATCCGAAAAGTAAGTTTTTAAATATTTAGTCTAATAAATTGTCAGGGAAAAACAAGTAAGTTTTTTTTTGGTTTGGTGGCTTTATTTTTTATCCTTCACAT